CCGAGTCCGTCTCCTCACTGCAGTGAGATGAGCGGACGGGTTAAAACTAACCCTGCCGCTCCGTGTACACAGTGTGCCTCCTAGGATCACATCCAACATTTGATAAATTCCAATATAATCCAAACACATATACACTGTGATATTTTGGTGACCAATCCACTTTGGGTTCCCCCATTTTTGCATGTTTACATGTTACACATCTTTATTGAGCCAGAACAATGGCAGATCTGACACTTGGGAGTTGATTTACTAAACTTTTAAACACACCACGAACATGTATACACCTCTGTAGTGTGTTCCCTCCCAGCATGATCTATGGGTGGAATCTAAACACCTTTGTAGTGTGTACACACCCAGCAGGTGTGTTGTGCAAAGCCCTGCATGAATTGTAAGGTAATGTTGTGTAAATTAGCTCTATGTTATGTTGCTTGCGTTGATGAATGCAGGAATGTAAATGCATGAGCTAACCATTTTTGTCTAAACTGTGAAGCAGCATTATATATGCATCATGTGCATTATTTTTTCATATATGGCATTAGTGGAAATATGCTTTTAGAGACTTTTTGGTTGATAAATACGTTTTGCTGTGTGAAAATCACACGCACCACAGTTTCTTTGACACAATTGAGTTATTCAGTTCCCCTTTTTTCAATATTTCATGCAGGATTTCTTTTGATTCGTTTAGTCATTATCGGGTTTAGGACAAATCGCTTAACCCTTCACTTTACTTGATTATTATATTCTCACTTGTATACTTGGTTGTACCGAGTTCTATACAACATGAATATTATGACTGTGGGTGAGAAAAGGTTAAAGAATAGCTATTCTTAAAAAAAACAAAAAAAAACCTTGGAGTTTCAAAACCCCTTCATGGAAATCACCTACAAACCACAGCTACAGAGAACAGTTGCCCAGGTACTTAAAGTGACACTAAACTTAGGAATTAAATCTTACTTTTCTTCCTCATGGTCCCTGTGAGTGTTGTAAAGTAGTCTCCGCTCCAAGCTCATTCCTGTGATGGACTACAATCAGGCCCGGATTCCCCACAAGGCCACCGAGGCCCGGGAGCAGAGGGGTGGCAGCGGTGTCCTTGTGGGGAAGTTCCGGGCGCCGGGCGGTAAGTTGCCCTCTCTACATTTAGTCCTGCTTTGCACAAGCAGGACTGAATGTAGAGTGAGGCAGCAGATTGTTCGTTTACATGTGAACTCGGCGATGTCGCCGAGATCACATGTAAACAGTCTGCAGCCCCCTCGCCTCCCCCCTGCACTTACCTCTCTCCTCTGGTTCCGGGCTCCACCGCCGAGTCCGTCTCCTCACTGCAGTGAGATGAGCGGACGGGTTAAAACTAACCCTGCCGCTCCGTGTACACAGTGAGAGGGGAGAGCTCAGTGACGTCACAGACATCGACGTCACCGGACTCCTCCCCCCTTCCCTTCGTTAGCCGACAGAGCCACTTGCGGAAGGGGGGAGGAGTCCGGTGACATCGATATCCGTGAGGTCACCGGATCGCCGACTGGACTCCCGGAAGTTGGCGGAGAGGTGAGTGTTTTCATTAGCGATCAAAATAATTTTAATCGATCAAAAAGTTTAACGATTAATCGAGAAATTCATCTTTAATTTCCACAGCCCTAAAAATTAGTAAACTAAACGTGAGATTGTAGTCCATCATGGGAGTGAGCTTGGGAGCGGTGACTACTTTACAACACACACAGGGACCATGGGAAACAAAAGTAGCCACCCTCCAGAAGGAAGGACAGTGTCGGAACCAATTCAGAGATGATTTGAGGATCTAAAGCTGAGTGAAACACAAATAAGATACATTTTGGATAATAATTACGGTACTTGAATGCATTTTTAAGATTTACCTCCTGAGTTTGGTGTCGCTTTAATTTGACAATAGAAAATAATGATTAGTGATGGGCTCGGGCGTGTCGAGCCCGCCAGGAAGCTGACAGCGCCGCAGCGCCAATCACAGGCATTGACACATATCCCGATTTCTGCAGCTGCGGACCGGGATAATGTCTCAGTACCTGTGATTGGCGCTGTACCTGACAGCGCCAATCACAGGCACGGAGACATTTCCCGATCTCTGCAGCTGCGGACCGGGATAATGTCTCAGTACCTGTGATTGGCGCTGCGGCGCTGTCAGCTTCCTGGCGGGCTCGGCACGTGGAGCTGCGAACACGCCCGAGCCCATTACTAATAATGATCTCCTGGACACATGCACCTTATTTTGATGAGGAGGAAGCAGGTGGACATGGTCATTTTTTTCTTTTTAAATGATCAGCAGTTACCCTTTAACTATGTACACAGTAACTTCACTACACCTTTGTTGCATTATTGCATTATACGTTTCATTTTTCACCATATCGATTATTCTGGCATAGCACCGTGTCACCTAATGATTGTTTTTGTCTGTAAAAGGAGGTGTGTATGTTTGCAATACAAAAGCAATGCAATAGAAAACCTACATATCATATAACTACAGTAAAATAGCGCTTGGCTACCAATGACAAGGTCTAACTATTGCAGAGATCCGTTATCCGGAAAAGCTTTCTTTACAAACCAAAATGCCGAGCATGTCAAACACAGCGCTTTCCTTTACCTCAGTGTATGTAAATCGTCCATTTTTTACAATATATGGGGAATGATGTCTAACAGTATACAGTTTTCTTATGCAATCATTTTTCTGAATCTGTTCCAAAGTTTCTTACCTGGAGATCCCGCCGGTAACAGCACTTCCTGCTGCAGGCTGACAACACTAAGCCACTGCCTCAAATTTAGGCCTCATTCACAATACTAACAGCCGGCCCGTACAGATCCGTGCATCGTGCACGGCCATATCAAGCCGCTCCCGGGAAGGACAGGTGCTGCGTATGATTGCACACAGCAGCCTGTTCTTCACTATGGGAGTATGCGGCTGTACGCTCACCCGAACTGCACGTTCGTGCGGGTGTCCCTACTCGTACGCAGACAGCAGCTGTCCTCCCCGGGAGTGGCCCAATACGGCTGTGCATGCAGCATGGATCTGTACGGGCCGGCTGTTAGTAGTGTGAATGAGGCCTTACAACTCAGCATTATCTACATGTATCAGTACGGCCTCGTGCAGACAGGTGGCAAGGAACCGCCCACCTAACAGGTAGAATTGCAGTCACTCAGCCCTGTATACACACCACAGCAAATTAAAAACAGGATGTCGCGTTTGGCAGTTCGTTCTTCTTAGCATTTGACAACTGAAATCAATGAGACCGCGCCGCAACCATATGGCAGCCGACACTGTGTTCAGTCCACACAATCTGACTGTCACTTTTGTGCTAAATATGATTTGATCTCCTCCATGGGTTTCATATTCTGCTCCCACTACCCAGGACCAGAATGGAGGACGTAGGAGGGTAGAGGGGAGGGAGGCCAGCGATTGTCCATTTGTCTTTCTCCCCTCCTGTGAATGAACCTGGACATGACGGTGAATTTGTCACTTCCAGTTTCAGAGCTGTCATTCCCTGGGCTTAAAGAGAACCTGTCATTTATAATGTAGTACCACTATGTGGTAGCAATAAAATAAAGAAAAATTTAAATAGGTTATAAATGCTAAACGCATAAATCTGTAACCTATATCTTTAGGCCTAAAATGTGTGTTTTAACATGGGGCAAAATGGCTCTGGCAGCAGAGGGGCTAAAGGAAATCTCTGCCGAGACAAATACAGGGGCTGTCATGGATGATCTCTGCTTCTGCAAATGACTGGCTGACATGTTGATCCTTTGGAAAGCTGTCAGAGACTGTAGATATGTTACAGGGGATGGTCAGAGACTGCAGACATGTTACAGGGGATGGTCAGAGACTGCAGCTATGCTAAAGCAGATGGTCCAAACTGTGACTGCCACTAGCCCCTCCTGGCCCAATCAGTGGCTGCAGTTGTGGTGGGGCATTCCCCACCCCTTCGGGATGTATAGCTGCGGGGCCGGGAATGATCCTTTCTGCAACTGAATGGGTCGGGAGGAGGGGGTGGCAGTCACAGTTCTGAGTGGGCTTGCTCCAAGCTCAGGCTTATCATTAGCAAGGACTGCTATAGGACAGGGGTGGGCAATTCATTTTCTTAAAGGGCCATATGAGCAACTAGGGCTGTTGTGGAGGGCCAACACATTGTCCCCATTCAAGTGCCCCTCTTACATTGTTTGTCCCCTTTAGATTGCCCGTTTATATTATTGTTCCCACGCACCTTATTTTCCTATGTTATTAGTAGGCCAGAGATGGGAGCCGGGAGGTGGAGCAGGCTGCAGGGGGAACGGAAGAAGATACTCTTCCATCCTCCCATAATGCTGTGCGTGGAACACATTCGACATCACTGGTTGCTCAGTTGCCCCAGTCCTATCAACCAATGACTGAAGGGGAGAGGGCCTGCACGGGCCTATGGCTTGCAGTGGATGCACAGGCCTTGAAGGCTAGTGCTTCCACTGTCAGCCAGCAATAACAGCGCGCAGGTTGGCGATTGATCCGTATCCAGACCACAAGCTGGGCAGGGACAGCCAAAGGACCGGACGTGGCCCACAGCAGTAAAATGCCCAGGTCTGCTATAGGAGATGGTCAGAGACTACAGGCATGCTACAAGAGATGGCCAGAGGCAGAAGATGTGAAACAAGAGATGGTCAGAGACAACAGGCATGCTAGAGTGGATGTTGGTGACTGGGGACATACTTTGACAATCTAGACTGGTGACACATTACATGAGACTACTAGAGTTCAATAACATTACAAGGCAAGAGAAACAACCCAGAATGCAGGGGTTTCAAGGGGCACACACAACGTGTCAAAGGGCCACATGCAGTCCCCGGGTCACTGATTGGACACCAGGGATCTGCACGATCCATTGAAAAGTCACATCAGTAGGAGCAGATCACATTCATAAGATTAGACAATCAGATTAGCTGGACAGAGAGGATAAAACAAGAGAATGGTCATACAGTATTTCTGCTGATGAGCCGTATCTCATGAGAATTCCTACCTTGTAAAAGAACACAGCTTCTTTATATTTTCCTATTTGGTCATTGATGACAGCCAACTTCGCAAACTTTAAAGCGTCCACTTCCAGCGCAGCGGCATCCATGGCGTCAGAGGTTTGTCAACGCAACTCAAAAACAGAATAAATAACAAGGAAATAAACAAGTATATGGGTAAAATGGGGTGATTGAGAAGCGATGTGTCAACTGTCAAGCAACATGCAAGCTTCTTCTTCACACGAGGTAATGCACACTTTGGTTCTTTAGTCTTTTAATCCAGTTTACAAGCTCTGATTTGTCTTCAGATGGTTCGGGATCCCCGATGAGTACAAAAATCAGGGCGGTCGTTTGATGTTGTCACTCTGATTTCACTTCTACGCTGTAGGGTTATTAGCCTTAAACTTCTATACTATAGTTTTGTATGGCGATCATGAATTTCCTAAGCGTTTTGTAAACCCTTTGTATATGTAAACAATGAGTACACATGTGATCTGCATTGTGTCATATACCTGCCTTCACTTCATGCATATTGTGGGATCTGTGACGTGCCATGATCTCCCTTTCAGGGTCTTCTCCAGGTGCATAGTAATCTTGATGAATGGTTTTCTGGTATCCTGACAACCTCTTTCTAATAATCCAATTAGAATGTCAAAGCACAGATAATCCAAGAGTGACAAGCCCAGAGCTGTGTATACACTTTATATCCAATGCTCCATGATCAGTCTATGGCTCCGGTATAGCCCAGGCAGCACCAGTCCCTTGGCACCATGGATCCGATGACAGTCACAGCAGTCAGGTGTCTCCCACCTTGTAAACAATGTGTGTGTCCGGAGAGAAATTGCTGTCTATGTGTCCCGGACTGTCACTTCCTCCTGTGTATCTGCACAGGCGGCCTGGATGGTAGGAGGGCAGAGAGTCCAATCACCAGGCTGCCTCCTCCTCCTTTAACCCTTTCCTCACTGCTGCCCAGCCCCAGCTCCCGTCATGGCAATGCTAACACATAGTGAAGTGAGGGAAGGAACACTTCCTACTCTACCGATCCCCACTCACTAGTATCTTGTCCTCCCCCTCTATATGACAGGCCGAGCAGTTTCCACAGGGCTCGGGAAGGCGGTTTCCTGTCATTACGGAGCATGCGCAGACACACTCTCAGCTCTGTTACCTGAGAAATGATGAGATGTTCACACCCCTGAGAACGAGGAATTGTCCTGTCACAGATTAATGTGATAAACCCCGGCACATAGGCCTAATCACCCTCTTTAAGTCAAGGCACCCTGTAAAGACTCTCGGAGAACCCCAGTCTAAAATGTGGGGGATTTTAAAGGGGACCCCATACAAAAAAAAGCACTCAAAAAAGTGAGGTACCCTCTTTCACATTGAAGTCTCATTTAAATCAGGACCACCCTTCACATCAGAGCACCCCTTTAACACTACCACCCTTCACACCATTGTCCCCACCCATTTACATCACCACCTTTTAACAAGAGAG